TTTGAACACAATATTTCATGAAGAGAGATCAAAAGAATAAATAAATCATTGAGAAAAATCATGGTTGATTTAATGGTTTCCTTTGTTTCAAGGGGAAGTAGGGTAAAATAAGTTGATCATTGATTTTCCATAATTTTGGATTGATATGGATAATGAGTAGCGGTTATTATTGTAAAGAATTTTTTGGGTTTTTTTTTCCATTAGGTATTTCGAGTTCTTTATTTAAACTATTAAGGAGTTGGATTTTTATTTTGGAGAATACGACGAAGCTGGAACTCGTCACCATGAGGTGACAAGCTTCATGCATCGTAGAAAATAATGTAGATCCCAAAATAAAAGTGTACGTGACCTAGTTTGCAAAAGTTTTTGGGCTGCATTATTGGGCCAAAAAATCGAATTTTTTGAATAAATTGGGTTTGGACAACAAATGGGTAATAAATTTTACGTTTGGTTGAATGTGGGTTAATATAATTGAGTTACAGTTTGGATATAGGTAGGTTGATAGGTTAGCAAGCTTGGCCTGATAAATAGTGTAGGTAATTGGGTATGTTTTAATGGATTTGGAAAGGCTGGGTTATGCATGCTAAATATAAAGGGTAAACGGGCTAACTTGTAAATTGATAAATGTATGGGCTGACTGTAAATAGGTTTCTGGTATAATAAATATGGGTAAATTATAAATTTGAGAACTAAACTTTACTTCACTCCTATTTTACTTACTATACTTTTAATCTTTTCAATTTTCTCACTAACTTAATCCATTAGGTTTTTTTATCACTAGACCGTTATATAGATGCAAAACGACATCGTTTTGGTGAATTTTTTTAAATGACATCATTTTTAACATCATTAACTATTTAACGGAAGAGTAACTAAAATAGGAGAGAGTAAAGTTTAGTGACAAAAAAATTCAATGTACTAAGTTCAGTGAGGAAACTGAAAACTTTTAAATTTCAATGAGCAAAAGAAGAAAGAGAATAAAGTTCAATAATGAAATTTGTAATTTACGCAATAAATATATATTATATTGTATAACAATGCATATGTATATATATTGGGTTTTGGTTTGATGGATGGACTGTATCTGCGTTTTAATAAATATTTCAAATCATTTAATTAAAATCCTCAATGACCCCATGTAGTTCATATTTTAATACCAGTGCACGAAATGTGCAAATTAAATTTTGAAATACCTTGAATTCAAATTAAATCATTCAGACAAAATTGAGTGTCTACAATGGTTAAAGACCGATATTGTTTCCATTATTGTCAGAAGTTATTTGTTTTCTACCTGTAACACCTCAAGTTTTCAACTCCAGATATAATCGATTAAATGCGATTTTTTATTAAATTATTAATTTAATTGAAAAAATCACATTTGATCGATTAGATCTGGACTCGAAAACTCATAACGTTACACAATCGCTTGTCACTCATACTCTTCTTTCTAAAATCCATCGTCCGTTATTGAGCACTCCAAATATTATCAATCATAAATCCCATTATCGTCTCAAATTATGAAATTATTTCAAATTAAAATAAAGACTAAATTGATAAAAATTTATAATATTAAATATTTATTGTATTATTTCGAATTATTATTATATTACGTCATGTCATTATTTTCATTGATTTAGTAGTCAAACCTAACTGCAGGTGATCAAAATTGGAACGGAAAGGGATTTTAAGTATGATTTTGAAAATAAAATAGTTCAATGGCCAAAATAAAACTATAAAAATACATGATGGCCAGATAAAAAATTTACCCATATTTTTAATGATGTGATAATATTGGTACTGTATATATGTTTTTCCTTTGCTAGGTTTTAATCCGAAGGTAGTTTCTCTAGAAAACTTTTTGATTATGCATATCAAAGGAGAACTGTTCTTTTTTTTTAATCCACATTAAAGTTTAGGTCAGGGGTGACTCCTTCAGTCCAGGGTCAGGGCATATTTAAGATTCAATTGGGATTTACATAGGACTTTACAGATTACTCACCAAGAGTGACGGTGGTGAAATTCGAACTTGATCTTACAAGTTCAAATTCTTGAATCTCAACCACTTGTGCCAACACTTATTGACAAGTAGAACTGCTCTAAATGATATAGTTTAATACTCATAATATTAAAAAGGAGATAAATCATCTTTCCTTCTAATTAAATAAATCACTTTTTTTCTTGTCTCATTATGTATTCATATATACTAACTACTTCACTTGTATCCTTTATATTGTCTATTGTTAATTTTTTTACGTAGTTTTAAAAAGAAAAAATTTGTGCAGAAAATGTGTTGTAAAAAAATTAAAATAACAATTTTATTCTAGAAAAGTTAAAATTTATGGTAAACTATACGAGTGACCACCCAACTATGATAAAAAATCATATTGATCATCGATGTTTCAATTGATCAAACAAACCATCAAACTATTTAAATGATTCAATCAAGCCACTTTGCATTAACAATTAACGGAACAAGTGACGTGGCATTTGATCAAATAGATCATCCAACTATTTAAATGATTCAATCAAACCACTTTCATTAACAGTTAACGGAACAAGTGATGTGGCAATTAAAAATATTTTAGTATAATTACACAATTGATATATGTTACTTATATATTCTTTCAAGTTGATCCATATTTTAATAAATTAAAATAATGACATGTATCATCATTTGATTGGATGACTAAATTTATTTTAATTTATTTTTAATTTAAAGATTTACTTTCTTCCGACGAGAGGGACCTCATGTTGAAAGAAAATAAATCAACACATATTAGGGGAAGGTGGGATTTGAAACCGTGACCCCTTGGATGAAATGGAAAGAAACAAATAATTGGGCCTAGCCATCAATTTGGTTATATTTTTACAACAAATAATATATATCTTGTATATTAATATTTTTTTCTTTAGACAAGAATTAATATAATTAATAAATAAAAATTAATAATATTTATTTTACATTAACAAAAAATGAATAACATAACACATATTAAAATATTAATAAAATATTTTAAGTTAATATATTTTAATATATATATTCATATTATATTCGTATTAAAAAATATTTTACATAATTTGTATTTTTAAGTTAATATATTTAAAATATATATATATTCATATTATATTCATATAATAATAAAATATTTTAAGTCAATATATTTAAAATATATATATTTCTATTATTTTAATATATTTTATATATTTGTATTTTTTGTTAATATAAAAAAATTCTTAATTTTTATTTATTAATTATATTATTTGTTGTCTAGAGGAAAAATTACTAGGCTACAAGATAAATATTATTTGTTGTATAAAGATAACAAAATGGATACTTTGGCCCTGTTGTTTTGTTTTTCTTTTTTCACCCAAGGGGTCATGGGTTCAAATCCACCTTTCCCTTATATATGTTGGTTTATTTTATTTCAACATGAGGGTGACACGTACCCTCATGTTGGAGGAAAACAAATCTTTAAATTAAAAATTAATAAAAATAAATTTTGTCAGTTGGAGGCAGATATGTTTATTAAAATCTGAAGGTGGCCTGGGTGTTTTTGATCTAGGGGCTGGAACAAAGCTTGCTTTGTTAAGTTGATTAGGGATTTACTGGCTGAGGATGGATCCTTATGGGTAGCTTGGACCCATTCATATGTAGTCAAGGGGGCTAATTTCTAGCAGATGAGCACCCCCCGAGTACTAGTTGGAGTCTTAAGTGTTTATTAAAAATGAGGCCATGCGTTTCTCATTTGTTTACTGATCATTGCAGGGAACTTAGCACGAGGCAAGTTTGGGAAGATATGCGTGTTGTGGTTCTGAGAGTTTTGTGGCACCGTTTGGTGTGGTTCCCTGGTCGCATTCCAAAGCACAACCTTATCCTATGGATGGTTGTGTTAGACAGACTCCCTACCCGAGCTAGACTCATACGGATGGGATTGGCTATTGAAAGTGATAAGTGTTTGTTTTGTGACATAGAGCCGGAAACAAGGAGCCATATCTTCTTCGAGTGTGAGCAGGCCAAAGCTTTATGGGGGGCTATTCTCTCCTTATGTGGTATCAAACGTGGTGCGAGTAGCTGGAATGGAGAACTGGCTTGAGCTATGCACTGCCTTAAAAGTAAGTCACTCATCGTGCGAGTGCTGAAACTAGCGTTGGTTGGGCATGTGTACAATGTCTGGAAGGAAAGAAACACCAGGTTGTTTGGAGGCAGGGCTAGATTGATGAATCCTTTAGCAGATTGGACTCGTGGAATGCATCCTTTTGTGCGAGTTGGGGCATATAGAGAGCTTTGGTTTTCTTGTTTTCTTTCTTTGTATCAGAATAGTCTAGAGGTTAGCTTGCTGTTAATGTATTAACTGGTATCTTGTAGCAGGATTCCTGCTTTCTTGGGTAATGAAAATGGATTATCCAAAAAAAAAAAAAAAATTTGTCATCTAATCGAATGATGACACACATTTCATTATTTTAATTTATTAAAATGGGGACCAAATTGAAAGAATATATAAGTAACATGAACCAATTGTGTTTTTAACTGCCACATCACATGTTCCATTTACTGTTGTGGCTTGATTGAATCATTTAAATAGTTGGATGGTTTGTTTGATCAAATTAAAACATTGGTCGTCAAAATAATTTTTGACCATAGTTGGGTGGTCACCTGTGTAATTTGCCCTAAATATGTCAATGAATCTAAAGTTAAGAGATAAAAACAACTAATTGCTTGAAGAAAAAATATACTAAAATAATCTTTTGTGAGTGAAAAAAGCCAAAAAAAAATAAAAATAAAGTTTGGAGTCGAGAACATTTTGCACCTTTTCTTCACACCCAAGTGGCTTTTTTTCTCGTGTTTTTTGCTTGGTGCATTCTCATTCTCGTGTTCATCGTTTATTTTCGGAACCTGCGGTTCGATAAAATCTTCGATTGGGATCACAAGCGACCTGCAACTCGAATCATGCAATCCGATCCGCAATTCTTTGGCAAATCACAAATGAAGACAATTTCTGTTGGATTCATGGCTTTTTTTATCTTCTCTGGAAGTTGAGATGTTTTACTGACAAAGTGAAGACACCGAAAAACAAGAAGCAAAAGCCTATCAGTACAACCAACGAAGGTCCGATCATCCCGGTATGAATGCCGAATACTGTCAATATGTACTCCTTCACGGTTCCTTTAAATGTTGGTTCAACAATCATGGTCTCTACATCACCCAGCTGTGAGCTTATAATCCCCTTTAGAGTCCATGCAATAGGGCAAATGTAGTAGAACCACATCCACCATCCTGGTATCCTCTACAAAACAAAACAAACTACGTTAAACAACTTTCTCCCAAAACACTGAGACAGGAACAAGAAATATAAACAAAAGGTAAAAAAAATCTATCGTTTTTTGTATTTTAATCCCTCAACATTTCATTTACTAATTAATTCTTATTTTTTTAGATCATTTTAACCCTCAACGTTTAATTTTGAATTAAAAAAACTATATTTTAAAACGTGAATGATTTATTAATTAACAATTTTCATCTACAAATGATTGGTCAAAATACTCTAAAAAAGAATGTGTGACAATGGGAGTATTTAATTATATTAATAATATTTTTTATTAGATATAATGTTATAAAATATCCTAACACATAGTCGCTTTTTTCTTTATCCTCGCTCCTTTTTCTTTCTTTCCTTACAACTTATGTCAATTTTATAGACTAATTCAACTTTTTCTTCTTTAATTTTGTTTAACCGGCGACAACATCGATTTTGATGTTGGTTGCCGTCCGCCGATTATTTTTTTCTTTGTTTTTTAGTTTTTTTAATTATAATAGTTATGACTTTGTAACATGTTCTCTGCTTTTATGACATATTTATCTCTTCCTTTGTGACACGTTTTTCTCTGTCTTTTGGTAGCTTACGATTTTTTGTTTATTTATTTTTCATAAGATTGGATTTGACATCGTCACGATTAATCAAGATGGCGCTTATTTGTTATCTTGTAGATCTTCTCTGCTTTGGACACTCGAATTAATTTGAATACGTGTTTTGCGCTTGTAGATAGTTTTCGTCGCTTGACTCTGATTTGTGATTTATCGGTGATCTTTCAGTAGCTTCATCTCCTTTTGTGATTTGTTTGCCGATGCAAACAGATTTGTCCGTATCTTTATTTTATTCGAGCATTGGTTAGGTTTTTTTAACCTTTTCCTTTTACGGTCCTTGTGTGATCTAAGTGGTTAGTTTTTATGTTAATGGTTATAAGAAAATATTCTAATTATAATTTAGTTTACGTTTACGGTTATGCTCGTAAATCATCATTGTAATTTTAGATATTTTCTATTTTTAATAAAACTAGCGACTTTTTATAAAAAAAAATAAAATACTCCTAACATTTAATTACATAATCATTTTGATTCTTATTTTTTTTTAGCATTTTGGCTTCAAACATTTCATTTTAGGGAAAAAGTCATTAACGTTTGACTAGTAGTCACTTTAGCCATTATTTTTTGGAGCATTTTAACCCACAACATTTCATTTTAGGGTAAAAATTCATGTTCCGCAACCTTGACAGCTTATTGACTAACGGTTTTCATCCATCGAGGAGCCTTTTTGCCCGAGAATAAAATTTTAGGACCAAAATACTTCAAAAAATAATGGACCAAAATGACTATTTAACCCAATGTTTTGGGCACTTTTGTCAATATGGATTTTTATTACGCCTAAACACAAATTCTAGAAGTTAACCGTGAAAGCATTGTATTACTTACCGGCTGTGGGATGAGAAAACCGGAGAGGAGATTCCATAAAGAGTAGAAGGCAGAAGAGACGACGGCTGCTGTTTGCTGAGAAGGTGTAAGACCCACAGCCATCAAACCATAAAAGGTGAAATAGGTGAAGGTAAGGAACATGAAGACAAGATACAGGAAAAATTTTCCTACATTAACAAAGACAGATTCTTATAACCAAAGCTGCATTTATTGTAGACAAAAGAGGGTGATGTTAAAAGAAAATAAGGGATCTTACTAGCTGTCCTTTCAAAATTAATCATGAAATATGTGACGATCCCAAACAAAATTGTCTGAGCAACAATGTATGGAAGCTCAACAAGACCCTGTTCCAAAAGAATCCAAGCACCACCTTTTTAAAATGAAGTACATATTAAACCAAAATCCGATTCGAAAATTGAAGTCTTCTATCCCCCACACAACCCGACCAAGGTTTAACGGACCTCACTCAATCCGAAACCTGACCCGATATTTTAGGATAAAATCCACATACGACCCAATCCGACCTATATAAATTAAGGACCTAATTGAAAAAGATAATATTACAATTATCTCTAAATATATATAAAGGATAATTGTAATATTATGTCAGATCGGGTCAGATTTTGTTCACCCTAAACCTAAACAAACTCAAACCTGAATTTTCAAAATAAGAAATCACACTAGATTACCTGTGCCGCTGCATAAGACATGGGAGCATACATTCTTGCTGCTCTCTCTCTATAGAATACTGTTCTTTCAATGGATACAATTGGTTGTACTGAGGAAGAGTTATTGACCCCAAGAAATAAGCATGCCGAATAAAGGGCACCCATTATCATAAACACACCTTTAATTGTATCCCTGCACAAACATTTTGTTCAGGCCATCTTCTATGTATTTGGAGTTCATAAACATGAAAAATAACCAAGATCACTTGCCTTTTGTTTCCGACATCCCAGAAAACAGATCCGAATATTAGTGCGCAAACTGTCGTAAAAACTAGTCTCACCAAGTTGTAACGTGGGCTTCTCCAATACACAATATTTTGCTTCTTCAAGCAGATAAGAAACTGAGACAGTTGGCCTTGCGAATATGTGGAAGGAAACTTTAATGGTTTGGACCCTGGAGGTGGAACACTCAAACGTGTAATGTAATCTTCCACTTCCCTGTAACGATGATATTGGAATGTTTACTTGCGGAGGAAGAAACCGAGTAAACGGATTATCAAACATGGCACCGTACGAATTACCTATATTGTGCAGAATTTTTGTATAGATCAGCAAAGTCTAATCCAAGTCGCTGCTCTACTGCAGGGTTAGTAACCTCGAGCATCCACGTCGCCGGGTTGTATCCGTCCGGATTCGAAGGGACTCCATCAATGCCCTATATAAAATAAAAGAAATGTGAACACGCATATATAATGATAGTAATGGTGGGGATGCAATACAAGTCACCTGGAAATAGTCTTTCAGAATCTCTGAGTTCACTCCGAGTTTTCCACCGTATATAATCCGACCTCCTCGTTTCAAAAGCAGCAGCTGGATTTTATAATTTATTGGAAAATTCAGATGAAGAGTCGTGTATTATGAAAAGATTCTTAAACGCCATAATCATACAGACCTCATCAAATGCTTCAAAGATGTCAATACTGGGTTGATGAATGGTGCACACCACAGTTCTTCCGGTATCGACTGTATTACGAATAGTTCTCATCACAATCGCTGCCGCCCGTGCATCAAGTCCAGATGTAGGCTCATCCATGAAAATAATGGAAGGATTTGCGACGAGCTCCACCGCAATGGTTAAACGTTTTCTTTGTTCCGTCGATAACCCACTGCTACCTGGTAAACCAACTATAGCATTCCTCAGTCTATCAAGCTCTACCAAACGCATCACTTCTTCAACAAACTCCTATAGGTTAAGAATGAGTCAAACTAGATGAAATTTAAAACAAATATAAGTTGCTTAAAGGGTGCATCTCACAGATCTTTGAGCTTTGCTCATTTCTTTCGGAAGCCGAAGACTGGAGGAAAACCAGAGAGACTCCTCGACCGTCACTTGGGGAGAATGTATATCATTTTGCTCAACATATCCTGAAATTCTAGCAAATGTTTTCTGTTCCTTTTGGTACCCTGATATCTTAATATCCCCTTCAATGTATCCACCAGTTTTCCTTCCAGAAAGCACGTCCAACAATGTAGTCTTTCCCGCTCCACTCGACCCGACTAAGGCCGTAAGAACTCCTGGACTAAATACTCCGCTAACATTTGAGAGGAGCTGCAATCTCGTTTCAGGTATTCCTTGTGCTTTCATTTCCTGAGATATTCGATAAAGCGAAAACAAGGGTATTGAAATATGAGGTTTCACGTCAATAAAAGATATATATACAATCATACCTTAGGCATATCAACAAAGTAATTAACATTTTGAAAAGTCATTGCTAATGGTTGAAATGGAAGAATCATTCCCTTCTTGCAGCTGCTTTCAGCAGATGGAGCTTCCGATATCGCCTTTTCGTTTCCAACTGTCAAGATGTTTTGAAATTTGTGAAGGAATTGCAGAATCCTTTAAAAGAGGCACATGAGTCTACGAGTCTGAACTATGTTGATGTTACATGTACCGAAAGATGACTAACCATTGTTTGTGGCCGAACCTTGTTCTGTCTCATCAGGTACAACCGTCGGGGCTTTATTTAAAGCTGTCGTGAAGAGAAGAAGGATATGAGAACTCATCTTCGGACATTTAAACATAAGTAGAAAGATATATAACTCACGATTCAGATAGATCAGAGCCAATGTGACAACGACGTTGAATAGCACCGCATAAAATACTAACACGCCAACTCCAAGCCAATACCAATATTCGTCAGTGGGTAGACCATGTGCATGAAGGACATTGTCTCCAACTGTGCCATTTCCGGTAATAGATAACTGAAACATGTCTCAACTCTTACATGTTCAGCATATAAAATAATTATCAATAAATCGAAAATGGATGCAAAGCATATTGATTAGAGCACCTTTTTCCACCTTGTGGCTGTGAATTCATTAACCGAAACTGCTCTTTGTGCATACTGCAATGGTGACAGCCAAGAAGCCCAAGACCACCATGGCTTAATTTCGTCTGAAACAAGAAGAATAACAATATATACTTGAATAATCAACAACAATAATATTTTGTCTTCCTTTACTAAATAACATACCTTTAGGTACAAGAAATCCACCCAATAAAAGTACAATTAAAATTGCAGCTGACCCAAAGGTATTTGCAATGACTATATCTCGAGCAATAGCAGCCAGCATTCGGAATAGACCAATTGCCATTTGGTGTACTACAAATTTTACAAACATGAAACGAAAAAATCTGTATCCAAGAAACAACAAGTAATAAGAACGAATTGACATTAAAAAAAACATAATCAGAGAGAGTGAAATAAGACATACCTCCCAGGGGAAGGGGCAAAACCAATTGTGTAATATACAACACAAGACCATACTATAGCTTCAACGACAGAGTAAGGTACACGTAGAATAAAACTGACAACTGACCATATCCACGGAGGGTGAAACAGATTATCTCGATGCTTGTAAAATACCGGGAGTCGATATATCATAAGGGGCAGCTCAGTAAAACCATTAAACATCATATGCACCACTCCAAAGAAAAGGGCAGAGATGTAGAGGTTGCCATTAATCTCGTCTCTCGGATGTATTCTTGTTCGTAAAAAGATTGTGCCCGTGATGAATGCAACAAATGCAACCTTAAAAGCATAATGCATATATTAAAAGTGAAATACTAAAGATGTAATTGTAAAGTATTTGTATATTGAAAACATACCTGGAGTGTCCTGAAAACGTAAAGGAAACTATGCCTGGTGATTAGAAGTATTTCTCGTGCAAAGCAGGAATTTAGAAGTTCCCATCTTGATGCAGCATTTTTTGTTTTCGACAGTGATGAAGGATGGCTCCGGGATTTATCATATGGAACGCCAAGTGTCGTTTCCATAGACTTCCCAAATCTGGAATTTTTAAATGCAGTGGCCATTTCTGAAACAGTAATGAATACATATGGCTTCGAGGGATCAGCCCAGTATTGAGCTTGATCTTTCTTAGAGGTCACCTGACAGCAAAACACTATTAGGCAAGTACCTAAAGAAGATTTAACCATACAATACAAGTAGGTGTGAAAAAAAATACCTCTTGGAGAAAATCCGCAACACCCTTACGCGATGGTATTTTGAATCCTAATGACTCGAAAAATTCCAAAACATCTTCTCGAGGTCCCTGATACACCATATATCCTTCAGATAACAGAATTAGGTCATCAAATAGGTCAAACGTCTCCGGTGCAGGCTGTAGCAAACTCATGAGTACAGTTGCTTCCATTAGATGAACAAAATTTCGGACACATTTTACTATTTGAAACGTTGTAGAGCTATCAAGTCCAGTGGATATTTCATCCATAAAAAGAGTTTTTCTTGGCCCAACAATCATCTCTCCTGCACAGACACGATGCAGGCAAGTACAATTATTTGGAAAGTCACAAAATAAGATAATGGATCATAAAAAGCATTATAACTGTAACCTCTATAAATTAAAATTCAAATGATAACCCTCAGTAAAGTCTTTCATTTTATTTCAATGACGAAACTGTATCAAGAGAGATACCTGTAGTAACTCTTTTCCTTTGGCCACCGGAGACACCCCTGAGCATATCATTTCCGACTACAGTGTCCGAACATACGTCAAGACCAAGCACTTTTAAGACATAATCTGTTGCAATGTTATGTTTTTTACCCCTAACAGATGATGCCTGTGCAATACCAAAGTAAAAGCAAAAGGACAGTAAATAAATAAATAATGAGAACAAATGCACAGTTTTTTTTTTTTTTGTAAAAAGCTTACCTTCATGAAAGCATCAATCTCTGGGGCTGGACGTATGTTCTTTTCCTTTTCTAGTTTGGTTAAATCTTTCATATACCCTGCTAGTATGTTATTTTAATAGAAAAGTAGTGACATAAAACAAAAATTAAAATCAAAACATAATTATCTTCAAAACAATATTACAAGTAATCCAAAATCTTTCTAAGTTGACATAGAGTACAAATCTTAGTTAGACCACAACAGTCTGCAGAGATGTTTGGCTTCATATTATCCGGCCAATCTATGTATAGGCTGAGATCAATTTCATCATGATTCACATAAAATAGAGTGGTGTATCTGAAATCTGCAATCTTGAAGAAGTATAAAGCCTAATGGAGTCGGTGAACTATATTTCTTATCCAATTGAGGGGTTTCTTTTGTCTCATTTTATATGAATTCAATTCCCAACATTTACCTTAAAAATATAATATCTCGATACTTAATAAAAAAATTTCTTATAACACTGTTTAAAATTTTATATTTGCTCTTTCCTACTAGTACTGAAAGTCATGGCACAAATTGCCTATTTACCTAAATAATATAAATAAGAGAAAATCGCCTCAGTGACCAAAAATGCCTTATAATATACGATTTTAACCAACTTTTTTTGGATTTGCCAAAATGACCAACAAAATCGCAACGCGAAATAAAAATCGCAACGCGATCCCCAGAATCGCAAATCAGTTTCCAAAATCGCAACGCGATTCTTGAAAATCGCAATGCGATAGTACAAATTCGCATTGCGATTTTCCAAAATCGCAACGCGAATATGAAAATCGCAACGCGAACACATAAATCGCAACGCGTATCCGTAAATCGCAACGTGTATCCGTAAATCGCAACGCGTATGGGTAAATCGCAATGCGTATCCGTATATCGCAACGCGTATCCGTAAATCGCAACGATAATACATAAAATCGCAACGCGTATCCGTAAATCGCAACGCGATATTTAAAGCGCCATTATAATCGCTACGCGTATTTTATTTTCAAATTACAAAAACGAATATTAAGACAAAATCCCGTAATCGCAACTCATAACCTAAAACCTAAAATCACAACTCAGTCCCATCTCCATCTCTCACTCTCTACGGCGAAGAAATCCGTCCCCATCTCCGAAGATTTCCGTCCCCATCTCCGGCGAAATCCCTCACAACCATTCACGGTCAGAAATCCCTCACAATATTCAGAAATGGAAAATCAACCTCCGAGGGTTAGTTTTTTTAATTATTTTTATTTTGAAATGTTTGCATTATTGTAGGTTTTTCATATTGAAATTGATGATAAGTTTACTGGTCATTTCAATAATAGATTAACCATTTCACTTAGATTTCATTTCGCGTTTTGCGATTTTAATTTCGCGTTGCGATTCTCTCGTTGCGATTTTCATTTCGCGTTGCGATTCTCTCGTTGCGATTGTCATTTCGCGTTGCGATTCTCTCGTTGCGATTTTCATTTCAACCAAAAGACAAAACAGTGTTGCAAATTTTAGTTTCAAGAATAAACTACTACTTTTTATGTTTATTGTTTTTGGTATATCTTCACAGTGTAGTTTTTGGTATATCTAACTTGGTATGTTTATTGTTTTTGTAGAAATTTTTTTCGGCAATAGTGCACGTGCTATTAAGTCTCCGTACACCCCAATAGTGCGAAGACACCGCAAGAAGAAGCCCGACTCGCCTGTCATCCCTCAAGAGTCCACTCCTATCGTTGAAGAGGCCCCCCCTATCATTCCTCGAGAGTCCCCTCCCACCGTTCAAGAGGCCACTGTCATCATTGAAGAGGTCCCTCCCACCATTCAAGAGCCCGATTCACATGGCGTCATATGTAGGCTTCTTGAGAAACCCTCTGATGTGCCGGACATGATGGATTCAAGTTGGCTCTCGTATGAGTTACCGGCCAGTACCATACCGGTATCTGAAGAGGAGAGGGAACAACTACCGGACACAATTCTGGATAACACCCTTTGGGCTAAGACCGCTGTTGTTTTTTATCTACATGAGCGGAGCCAGGGGTGTTTCACTGACATATGCAAGCTCACCGATGATATCTATTTGTTGCTTGATCGGTCTTGGTGGGGCGTATTATTAGGGGTCGAAGACAATGGCTATTTCGATGGGGGGTAAGTCTTATATTTTCTTATATTTCAATTTGATTAATTTTTTTTTAAATTTATGTAAGTCACTAATATATGTCTTTTTTTGTAAAACAGCATATCGATGCATGGGTGACACGTCTTCTAATAATAAGAAAACTTAAGAAAAATAAAAATATACGATATACAATTATGCCGACGTCTTTTCACGCCGTTCACTTGAAGAATGCACGAGATGAATCATTTGATTTGGGCAATGGACAAGCTAAACTTTATCCTGCATGGTGGGAGGTCGATAAGGTTAGTATTTATTTTAGATTGAGTTTAAAGGTTTTATGAAATAAGTGCGCAAATGAATGAATTATTACTTATGATTGCAGGTGTTTATCCCTGTTTTGGAACGTAAACATTGGATTCTCGTCGAGCTTCAGCTCCCATCCCTTAAGACAATAGTGTATGACAGCATGATAAATTACATATCATTGGCTGATTTAAGAGATGTTATTAAGGGATGGAGCTCTCATTTGGCTAAATTCTTGGATGCGATCAATTATTGGACTCGTTCTGGAAACAAGAAGCCAAAGAAGCTCAATATTACAGTTATTAGAGACGAGACCGCGCCACAACAAACGAGCGGAGCCAGAGGAGATTGTGGTCCTCTCGTATGCTTGGCGTTGGAGCGTTTGACGATGGGAAGCATCAAGTATCTACCTCCCACCGATAGAGATAGAGCTGCAGTAGGCTTGTGGTTTCGGCATTATATGGCTAAATCGATATATACGAGACGCTGCCTACCTGCATCCGCGTTATAAAATGTCCATAAACAATTGGTAAGTTTATATACTTTTGGTTTGAAAATGTTTGGTTAAGTACCTAGAATTCAATAATTTGTTGTTTGTAGGTTTTAGATGTGTAGAAAGTGTTGTTTGAGCAAATGTTTGGTTTCTGCAGGTTAATCTCAGAAGTGAACTGCGTGAAAATGATGTATGGCTGCAAAAGTTGATTCAATAGTTTAATTGATTGTTTTTTGATTGTTTAATTGATTTGTAAAAGTTGATTCAATAGTAGATGATCGGAAATAAGAATTATTGCTTATTTTTGATTGTTTAATTGATTTGTAAAGATGATTTGTAAAAGTTGATTTGTGTAATTGATGCGAACATAATTCTTATTTGTGCTTGTTTAATTGATTGAAATGTAATGGTTGATTTTGTTGATTTCAATCTGCATTATGTTGAAGGCAAAAATGACTATCGCAATGCGAAATGAAAATCGCAATGCGAAATGAAAATCGCAACGAGAGAATCGCAATACGAAATGAAAATCGCAATGCGGAAATGAAAATCGCAACGAGAGAATCGCAATGCGTTTATAATTTCGCATTGCGATTCTCTCGTTGCGATTTTCATTTCGCATTGCGATTTTCATTTCGCATTGCGATTCTCTCGTTGCGATTTTCATTTCGCATTTCGATTTTCATTTCGCATTGCGATTCTCTCGTTGCGATTTCATTTCGCATTGCGATTTTCATTTCGCATTGCGATTCTCTCGTTGCGATTTTCATTCCGCATTGCGATTTTCATGTTGGGATTTCATTTCGCATTGCGATTCTCTCGTTGCGATTGTAATTTCCGTGTTGCGATAGTCAAATGCATGCCTAATAGTGATAACAACTGAATAACAAGAGTTGGTTAAGTCAAAATGGTTGGCCTGAGTCATTAATTCAACTGAAAATGTTAAAAGTTCACACATAAAATCCACATAATACAACGTTTGCATTTAAAAATCACCTAAGTTAACAGTCCCAAAAGGTGAAGCCAATTGTGATTGGGATTTTAAAGATGATTGCCTTTTGCTTGACACCATATGAGCTTTGGATTTTGATGAGGATCCATATTTTGGTAGAGGAAAAGATGATTTTGATGGCACTGGTGATCCACATGTCAACCTTGTATGACCACTTTCCTTGCACCGACTACATGTCGATCTCTTCTTCTCTTCACCCTTAGACGGTATACGATCGTGACTTTTTGGTCGGCCAGGTAGCCTTCTGTCCATGGCTGGTGGCAAAACTGTTTGTAAGTCATCTGGTATGTCCCACTCAGAAGGATGTGGAATAGGGTAGACAATCTCGGCATAAGTCTGTCGATAAACTTCTGTAGTGTAGCAATCCATAGCGTATGCGCTTGAATCATCTTGGTTTAAATGAAGAGCAACTTTTATAACATGGCCACACGGATAACCAGATGTTTGCCATTTCATACAACTACACGTCTTTGCATTTAGATCGACTAGCCCATTTAAGTTATTATCCAGTACTTGAAACAAAGTGTTTGAACATGGTTCAACTCTCCATGACGTTGACTTCACAACACGTTTCGTTATCTTTTTTTCAGTCCATGGTGTAACCGATGTTCCAATGTTCCTGTAAATTTAAATAAACAATACTTAGTAAAATATATAAATATGATAAGTTACGAATTCAAAGAAATAATACCTGCATGGTTTCTTTTCTTGTAGTACCACTGTTGAATAGAGGCTCGAAAAAACTCCATTAACATAGTAATGGGTAATTTCCGGGAATGACGACTTAGAGCGTTGATTGATTCTGCACTATTAGACGTCATGAAACCATATCTTGCTCCAAGTTGATGTACTCTTGACCATCTTTCAAACCCGACATCTTCTAGTGTTTGAGCACACTGAGGCAAAACACGTCTTAAACAATTTATATGCTTATTGAAATCCACTTCCGATAAGCTTTTACAGCCTTCCAGTATGTCCATTTGTGTTTTTTTATACCAGCAGACCTTGATTTTAGATTTCTATACAAATGAACACCACAAAGTCCATGAAAAGCATCTGGGAAACACCTTCTAACAGCGTTGTCAATTGAGTTTTGCCCTATCGGATATGATTGTCAGATTGCTAATAGGACCTATGCAATCCCTAAGATGCCCCATAAACCATGTCCATGAATCAGAGGTTTCAGATTTGCCAACCCTATAAGCTATTGACAATATCCCATTGTTAGCATCCATGGCTACTGCTAATAAGTTTACTCCAAGGTATCGACCTTTCAAATGTGCTCCGTCAACTATAATAACTGGGCGCATGCAAGTAATAAACGAACGAATCTACAAATAATATACACAAGAAATATAATCATTTAAATGTGAAATGCATGTAACTAACAAAAATGAGTCAACAAAATTATATTGATTTACTAACCGTAGCACCAATGGCGATAAACAGCAACTCAAAGCGTCCATCTCTATCTGTTTTGATATGAGTTACCGACCCAGGATTTTTCAGCTTTAAATTGTGACAATAAGCCGGCAGTTGGGCAAACGATGCTTCTGGCGACCCCCTCAACAATTCCAAGGCATAACATTTGGCTCTCCAAGCTTGAGAATATGATATACTAATCTTGAACCGAGCATTCATGTCAGTCATAATTTCATGTCCCCGATATACCCTGCCATTCAAAAACATTAACTCAGCCAGAAAACCACCCAAAACCCTTTTTGTTTGCCTGTCTATGGTGAGGAAAAACTTGGGTTCTTGAACATGTATGTTTATCAATAAAAGTCCTAACTTGAAACATTTTGCAATCTTTTATTCTCTTTGCAATCATACGCCACGTACAGTTTTTGTCAATCATACACCTTGTTTCGAAACGATCTTTGCTTGATTTGTTAACTTTTAGTTGATAGCCATCTTCCACACATTTCGTATATAAAGCTATCTTCAAGTCTTCCTTTGTATCAAAACAATCATCTTTCTTGATACGAATAACTTTTGTGTAACAATCAACTGCTTTCTTTATCAACTCTTCTTCCGGTATCTGAAGTAATTCTGGCATATTCTAGTTATACGCCCGTGGCATTTTCTTTTCTTCGGGGACTTTTTCTTCTTCTTTTTCTTCTTCAGGATTATATGAATTACAGAATGGATGTTCAACATGTTCATTCACAGTCGTAACTTCCTCCTCATTATCATCAACAATACATTCTTCGGCAACGACTGTTTCATCATCAAAATTCGGGTATTGACCAATATCAATATCATTACACGCATGGTCTGTTTCTTCTTCTGAAACATCATCAAAATCTGTGTATTGACCAATATCAAAGTCCGGATATTGACCAAGACCAAATTTCGAATACTGACTAGTACTCACAATTTTTTCTGTTGGCTCATCATCGTCTAACTGGTCAATACGAAAACCGGAATTTGGTGCTGAAAGTTGATTGGGATTTGGATTAGAGAAAGGTTGTGGGTTTTGAGAAAAACTTAGTTGATTACTACCCGCTACTGACCCAACAATACTACTTCTAGGTTCAACAACATACAATGTAACATCATCTTGTGAACACTAATGTAAGCAATGAATCGTTCAACATCTTCATTGTCGGTTAACAAATAAACTTTACCATTTCTCTGATAAGATAGCCTAAATCCACTTAGGGGCTCTAAATTCAATTTATTTGAAACATGTAGCATTAGAGTTTCATAAGTTAACTTTTGTAAAGACAATTTTAGTTGAAGATTCATGGGTAAAGGCATATATTGTAAACACCATGAACATTATCCCATGACCCTCCAAAACACAAATCTATCCAAACATGATCAACATTAGATGATTTCATGGTTGTAAATTAATTTACTAAACAGACGAGCTGCGAAACTAAAACCTGTTGCCGGATTGGGAAGGATGTCGTTGGATATAGGAACGGATGTCGCCGGAGAGAGTGATAGATGGAGATGGAATGAGTTGCGATTTAGGGATTTAGTTTATGATTTCAGTGTTATATACCCAAAATTTCAGTGTTGTGATTTACAGATTCTCGTTGCGATTTACGGATTATCGTTGCGATTTACAGATTCTCGTTGCGATTTACGGATTATCGTTGCGATTTACGGATACGCGTTGCGATATACGGATACGCATTGCGATTTACCCATACGCATTGCGATTTACGGATACACGTTGCGATTTACGGATACGCGTTGCGATTTATGTGTTCGCGTTGCGATTTTAATATTCGCGTTGCGATTTTGGAAAATCGCAATGCGAATTTGTACTATCGCATTGCGATTTTCAAGAATCGCGTTGCGATTTTGGGAACTGATTTGCGATTCTGGGGATCGCGTTGCGATTTTTATTTCGCGTTGCGATTTTGTTGGTCATTTTGGCAAATCCAAAAAAAGTTGGTTAAAATCGTATATTATAACTTTTTTTTGGTCACTGAGGCGATTTTCTCTATAAATAATATCATAATAATTGAATTAATTTTGTACAAAAATATCACTTAGAGTGCTTTTGATAATAATTGAGCATATCAAGTCCTAGCTTAATGTAAAGGACATGATTTTCAACCTGTTTAAACATGTGCTTTTTCTAATTAATTAATTAATTAATTAATAGTTTAGAGATTATCAATAATGTACTTTTTGTAAAAGAACAAAATATTAGTAATATTTTTGGTAGATTTCATGTATGGTCTCGTATTTAAGAATTGATAGATCTATAAATATTTTTTTAAAATGAACACACATATATTAATAATATAAAATTTTATATGGTTTAGACACAAAAAATTTCAAGACGAGCATAATTAATAAAATTATAACTAACAGCAAAAAATTCAAATTTTAGGCTTAAAATGATAACTTCTAAAGTTCGAATATGAACTCTTGTTGAAAAAACGTAATAAGCATTGGTATTGCACCCATCCTTGTTGGTAAACAAAAACTAATACTTGTTGAGATTGGAAGTAAATATACCTGCCATGCCCTCACATGCACCTTGACACCTGGCTGCAAAATCTAATGTTTCTCGAACAGTAAGCTCTGGTATGTGATTATCTGTTTGGCTAATATATGCTGAAGTCCTAACATAAAACTCATCAAGTTTTGTGCCGTTGTACGTAATATCACCACTTATCTGCAAAAGCAACTTAAAAGGTCATACTGAGTGATTCGTGAAAATTACTGTAAGTAACAAGCATGCAAAAGTGATTTGCTCAAAAGTTATGGAAACAATGACTTTACCTTCAATGCTTTATCGTCAAGTTTCCCAGCAAGCGCTAAAAGCAAGGTGGATTTTCCCGATCCTGGAGGTCCTAAAAGCAACGTCATCCTAAAACAAACAAAGTAATGGGAAAAAAAAGTTAGCGATCTGCAACTGCTACCAAACTTTTATATTAAATGATTTACAAATTAAGACAGATGCAAATAGTGATTCATACCAAACTGTGATGGTTTGATTTTCAATTGTTTTTCATATTCATGATAATATAAGTTAACCATTACATGAGTTGGGTCGGATTTTTGATTTATCCAAAACCGACCCATATTTGATCCGATCCAGGTTTAAGAGAGTTTCATATGATCCATTTAGGTTAAAACCCACACTCAACTAGACTCGGTCTTATTGAAAACATTAATAAAAAATATATTATTACAATTATCCTCATATTTATATATATATATATATAAAAGAAGATAATTACAATATTATGTCATGTCAAATTTTTACCCTAAACTTAAAACCGATCAAATCTCGCATTTAGAATTTTCAAAATAAAAATTAATCAAAGTTCATCAGATCAAGTCAAAACTCATCAAATCTCAATGAATACCATCTCTGCTTTTCGTTTCTGAGTGAACCATAAATATTTATATATGCACTTATGCAATATTAGTTATAGTAACTTCCTGGTCTAACAACGCCGCTGATTTCTTTCAAGATATGTAAACTGGTTTTATTTGGACGTGAAAACTTCAAACCTATTAAGATATTCTGTAAAAGCAACATAATTGTGGTCAGAAATGCATTATATATTAGACTGATCACAGAAAAAAATGAAAGAAAAGGAAGATAGCGAACCTCGAAGAAGTCACGAGCAACGTTGATTAAAGTAGGTAAAGCCCTTGAGCCAATTTGAACTTTGGCTTCAATGTTTATGTTCTGGAACCTTACTTCAACCTTTGGCACCTCCAATCCAACTCTGTATTCAAAAAGCTTTTATCTCATTTAATTAAATAAATTTTGTTGCGTAAAAATGTTTGCAAATGATTAAAGTAATCAACTATTGGTTTATTATTCATATTAATCAACTTAATATTATTTAAAGAGTTTTTTTTAAAACGCTTTTTTTAAAGAATTTAACTATTCAACTTTAATTATCTATGAATTTTTTTATCTACAATTATTATTATTTATCCAAAGATTATTTTTAAAAACATATACTATATTTTTTAATTATCAAACTAATAATATAATAAAATAAAAATATTTTTGTTGATTCAATTTTTTTTACATATTCATACTTTTATATATATATATATATATATATATATATATATATATATATATATATATATATATATATAGGATGAGAAAGGATCCAGTATCCACTTCCCTTGAAAATCTTTCAATTTCATTGATTTAAGATCATGATTATAAATAAATAATAAGATTAATTTTTTTTATATTTATATTATCAACTTTTTTATCCATAAAAATTTATTCATTCTTAACTATTAATCTCAATTTTTAATTTACACTTTTTGACTATAGATAAATGTAAAACTAAAAATTCATAATATAACACATGATAATTACTTGCAGTTAGATTTTTTATAACATTTTTTGTTCAATAGCAAGTTTTTTTATTCTACATTCTTTTTTTCTTGACAAATTTTTATTCTAAATTCTAGATCGTTAGTTTTTAGTACTTATTCATAAATTTACTTTATACTTAGTTTTTTTCTCAATTAGGAATAAAAATTAAAAAGCAAGCAAGAACTAAAAGGAGTTTAAAAAGAAAATACAGACTCAAAACATGAGGAAAATAAAAACTTGCGAAGAAAATGAAGTTAAAAAAATCACAATGGGAAACGCTTTACCTATCAAGGCGATCTTTAATGGCGGAGAGAAGCTTATAATTATCTTGATCATTTGTAGCCAAAGCTTTCTTCACAACCAGTTCTCTTCTAGCTCGATCAAGCTTCGTCACATCAATAGTCTCCGTACTAGCACTTGTTTCTCCTCCGACATCATATTGTTCAATCTCCGATGGAGTCCTCCTCAAAATCGCGAAACGACCTTGTTTCACCGACGGTAACCGAGCAAGCGCTTCCCATACAAGATCTTCCTCGTCTTGCTGAACCGCCTCCGCGTTCGACGGTCTCTGAAACGACTCCTCATATCCGGCCTCTATATCGAACTCCAAAGCATTCGATTTCCTCATACTCTCTCTCTCTCTCTCGATCGCTTTAAAATCTCTTTTTCTTTTCAGATTCCAATAGCAATATCGAGAAAGTGATTAAATTTGATCTTGTAGAGAATAGTAAGAGTCCTTATAAGGGAGGAGACGGCCAAGATACGTTGGCCCGGGAATTTTGAAGATATGTGGAAAACCGAAACTGTCCTTTTTTAAAAATGAAATATAATGGGTAAAACTGAGATTTCCATATGTTTCTAGATTCTTGCAAGTCCGTTGCTACTTGAAACTGTTATCACCTTCTTTATCTGCCCTATTCTTACGATCACATTACTTAATTAAGGGCTGAAAATGACCACGTGTTTTATGTGTTTTTTTTTCGCTCGTTAATGACTTGATATTGCTTATTTACTTATCATATCGTAGAGCGGAGTCAAAATTTTAATTCAAATGAATAAAATATAATTAAAAATAGAAAATGGAGAACAAAATCAAAATAAATCATAATTTAAAGGCGTAATTATTCTTATATATTTTTTTAATGGAAAAAAAAATTGGGGAGAGGGCAGTGAACCCCTAGGGCCTACATGGCTCCGTCCCAGTCGTAGAGTTCATATTGGCCTCTATAATATGAATACTTTCCCTAAACCTTATGATTGCATGTTTCGTCTATATGGAACTCACCTCACATGGCTGAACACTTCAAAGTGTTAGTGTAAGAAACCTTTAAATTATCTAAATTTTTTAAGTATCTAAGAAATTTAAATCTAGCTTTTGAAACTCCAAGTGTTTGTTATCATTTTGTTGCAATCATCTTTAAATTCATAACTTGTTAAGTGAAACATTAAACCTTAAATTGAAATTAGGGTTTATACATGATCATATTATCTTTGATTATGATTTTATTGCCAAATTGTTGATGAAATACGTATGCATGTGTTATTTGAAGTTTAATAATATGAAGTTGGAACCTCCAAATTAAGGGAAAAACAAATATTATTGAATAATAGTTGATTAAGAAATATCGTAAACTCAGATTAAATGAGTGTAGTCAATAACAAATCCAAATTTGTATGTATATTTGTTGTGATAATTGATTGTGTATGTATATATGGTTAAAATTATTAAATTTCATTATTGCCTCTAAACCGAACAAATGCATAGCTCGTGCCTTAATATATATGTTCCTATATGAAATTTGGATAATTATAGTATATTAATATCTATTATTGATACGAGAATTGTGACATCTTTGGGAAACTAAGTTAATTAACATATGATATTGAGCTAAAATGCTTGTCTATTATTGATAATAAAATATGTTAAAAGTCAAATAATTTAGGCACCAAATGGTGCTTTATCAAAGTCAAAAATTAGGCACCTAATTTTTGTTGAAATTGGGTAATGGGATAATTAATTTTAGTCATTGTAATTTAGGGTATTTATAAGATTAGTCCTTAAGTTTCAACTATAAATACCCTAGCTCATTTAGCTTCAAAATCATCCCAAAGCATTCTAGCTTTCTTCCAATACTAGAGATAATTTAGAGAGTTTCTTGAGAGTTGTTTTCTCCTTTTTATCGAGAGAGAATTATCATTGTTTTCTCCTAGGTAGATCGAGAGAGGTTGTAATTCCTATTTTCTCATAGTGAAATTCTTCTACCGTTGCCCGTGGTTTTTACCCTATTTTATTTAGGGGTTTTCCACGTAAATTTTGTCTCTTTTTATCTTTATTTTTATTTTCTCAAATTATCAGTTGCGATTTTATTCTATCCGATAGCCGCCTTCCGCAACAATTGGTATCAGAGCCAGATTTGAGTGTGTAATATCTGCTTATTGTCTTTGTGGTTGCCACCAAAAGGTGGATCCTCCAACATAAGAAAATAAGAAGGTATTACTCATTCTTTGAGGTTCTAGAGAACTATTCACGATAGTGAAATAGTGGGAGCTATCAATAATAGAAGTTATGGCAACGAAATTTGATATTGAAAAATTCAATGGGAGAAATTTCTCATTGTGGAAATTGAAGATGAAGGCCATCCTGAGGAAAGACGGTTGTCTAACAACTATAAGTGAAAGGCCAGTGGATTTCACAGATGACAACAAATGGATCGAAATGGACGGGAATGCTATGGCAAACTTTCATCTAGCATTAGCAAATGAAGTATTGTCAAGCATCGAGGAGAAGAAGACAACTAAGGAGATATGGGATCATCTCACCAAATTGTACGAGGCCACATCGTTGCACAATAAAATTTTTCTTAAGAGGAAATTGTACACTCTTCGGATGTCAGAATCTACTTCAGTGACGGAGCACTTAAACACACTGAACACTTTATTTTCTCAGCTTACATCCTTGAGCTGTAAAATAGTAGAACAAGAACGTGCTGAACTTCTACTTCAAAGTCTACAGGATTCGTATGATCAACTCATCATCAACTTGACAAACAATAATGTCACCAGTCTAGTCTTCGATGACGTTGCAGCTGCTGTTCTACAAGAAGAAAATCGGAGCAAGAACAAGGAAGACAGACAAGTAAATCTGCAACAAGCAGAAGCGTTGACAACGACGAGAGGGAGATCAACAGAATATGGCCAAAGCAACAGTCATAAACATGGTAGATCAAAGTCGAGGAGCAAGAATAATTTAAAGTGCTACAACTGTGGAAAGAAGGGTCACTTGAAGAAGGATTGTTGGAGTCTAAATAAAAACTCCAATCCACAAGGCAATACCGCAAACACTTCAGATGATGGCTGCGTCAACCACCGTGGAAGGCAGAAAAAGATTTGCAAATATATGGCTCATTGATTCGGGAGCGACATATCACATGACCTCAAGAATAGAATGGTTCCATCATTATGAACCTGTCTCAGGATGAACTATGTATAGTTGCAATGATCATGCCTTAGAGATCGTTGGTGTGGGAACCATCAAATTAAAGATGTATGATGGAACAATTAAAGTTGTTCGAGATGTGCGGCACGTGAAAGGCCTGAAGAAAAATTTATTATCCTACGGATTGTTGGATAATAATGCAAGCAAGATTGAAACACGGAAAGGAATCATGAAGGTGTTCCGTGGAGCGCTTGTGGTGCTGAAAGGCAAAAAAATAGCTGCAAACATGTACATGCTAAAGGGAGAGACTTTGGTAGAAGCAGAAGCCTCTGTTGCCTCATGTAGTTCAGATTCGACAATGCTATGGCATTAGAAACTTGGAAACATGTCAGAACAAGGAATGAAAGTCCTTGTGGAGCAAAAGCTACTTCCAGGCTTAACAAAAGTATCACTTCCTTTGTGTGAGCATTGCATAACAAGTAAGCAGCACCTGTTGAAATTCAACACATCAAATTCTAGAGGCAAAAGTGTTCTAGAATTGGTTCACTCTGACGTATGGCAAGCACCAATAACGTCCCTAGGTGGAGCAAAATACTTTGTCTCATTTATTGATGACTACTCCAGGAGATGTTGGGTGCACCCTATTAAGAAGAAGTCAGATGTGTTTTAAACTTTCAAAAACTTCAAAGCGCGGGTGGAACTTGATTCTGGAAATAATATCAAGTGTTTCAGAACAGATAATGGAGGAGAATACACAAGCGAAGAATTTGATGAATTTTGCAGGAAAGAAGGCATCAAAAGACAGTTCACAATGGCGAACACTCCTCAACAAAATGGAGTGGCAGAGCGGATGAACAGAACCTTGTTAGAAAGAACAAGAGCAATGTTGAGGGATGCAGGCCTAGAAAAATCATTCTGCGTAGAAGCAGTCAATACCGCCTGTTATTTGGTGAATCGAGCTCCATCAACTGCAATAGAGCTGAAGACACCAATGGAGATGTGGACTGGAAAACCAGCTGATTATTCAAACCTCCATATATTTGGAAGTATAGTGTACGTGATGTACAACTCCCAAGAAATTTCAAAGTTGGATCCAAAATCCAGGAAATGCAAATACTTGGGGTATGCTGATGGAGTAAAGGGGTATCGCTTGTGGGATCCCACTGCCCGCAAAGTGATCATTAGTAGAGATGTTATCTTTGTAGAAGATAAACTACAAAGAAAAGAAGACGATGATAGCGCTGAAAAGTCAGAGACTACTCAGATACATGTGGAAAAAGAGTTTGAAGAAGAAGATTCTTCTGAAGCAGAACCAACACATGATGAACAAGAACTAGAGAGTTCTGAAGCTCCAACAACTCGTCAATCAGATCGTGTGAGAAGACGTCCCAATTGGCACTTAGATTATGTTATAGAAGGTAATATTACATACTGCCTTTTAATAGAGGACGGTGAGCCATCAACATACCAGGAGGTAATAAACAGCTCAGATGCTTCACTGTGGATGATGGCGATGCAAGAAGAAATCGAATCCCTTCATAAAAATAATACATGGGACCTTGTGCTACTACCACAAGGAAGGAAGCCAATTGGTAACAAATGGGTCTTCAAAATCAAGCAAAATGGTGACGATCAAGTTGAGAGGTATCGTGCAAGACTGGTGGTCAAAGGATATGCTCAAAAAGAAGGTATTGATTTCAATGAAATATTTTCTCATGTGGTTCGACTAACAACAGTTCGAGTAGTTTAGGCAATGTGTGCTACATTGGACTTACATCTAGAGCAGCTAGATGTTAAAACAGCTTTTCTTCATGGAAATCTTGAAGAAGAAATTTATATGCTCCAGCCTGAAGGTTTTGAAGAAAAAGAAAAGAAGAACTTGGTTTGCAAGTTGAACAAATCTCTGTACGGTCTAAAGCAGGCGCCGAGGTGTTGGTATAAGAGATTTGATTCTTTCATTATGTGCCTTGGATACAACAGACTTAATGCAGACCCTTGTGCTTATTTCAAAAGGTCTGGTGATAACGATTTTGTTATTTTGCTGTTGTATGTGGATGACATGTTGGTTGGAGGACCCAACAAAGATCATATTGAAGAATTGAAGGCACAACTGGCTAGGGAATTTGAAATGAAGGACTTGGGATCAGCAAACAAGATTCTAGGGATGCAAATTCACCGAGACAGAAGTAATAGGAAGATTTGACTTTCACAAAAGAATTACTTGAAGAAGATCTTGTCACGATTCAACATGCAAGATTGTAAGCCAATTTCTACCCCTCTTCCTATTAACTTCAAATTATCCTCCAGTATGAGTCCTAGCAGTGAAGAAGAGAGGATGAAGATGTCTCGAGTACCGTATGCATCAGCAGTGGGAAGTTTAATGTTCGCTATGATATGCACAAGACCAGACATTGCACAAGCATTGGGAGTGGTTAGTCGGTACATGGCGAATCCAGGCAAAGAGCGTTGGAATATTGTAAAGAGGATCCTCAGATACATCAAAGGGACCTCAAATGTTGCATTATGTTACGGAGGATCAAACTTACTAATCAATGGTTATGTAGATTCTGACTATACAGGGGGATTTGGATAAAAGCAAATCTAATACAGGATATGTGTTCAAAATTATTGGTGGAGCTGTAAGCTGGGTTTCAAAATTGCAGTCAGTTGTGGCTACGTCCACAACAGAGGCAGAATATGTAGTAGCTACACAAGCCAGTAAAGAAGCAATTTGGTTGAAGATGCTATTGGAGGAGCTTGGGCACAATCAAGAGTATGTCTCTCTGTTTTGTGACAGTCAAAGCGCCTTGCATCTAGCAAGGAATCCAACATTTCATTCAAGGACGAAGCACATACGAGTTCAGTACCATTTCATTCGTGAAAAGGTGGAAGAAGGAACGGTAGATATGCAGAAGATCCATACCAAAGACAACATAGCATATTTCATGACGAAGGCAATCAATGCTGATAAATTTACCTGGTGTCGATCCTCCTGTGGCCTGTCAGAAATGTAAGCAACATGAAGGTACAAGGTAGAAAGAATGGTGTGAAGATATGATTATTCCAATTAAATCTTCAAGTGGGAGATTGTTAAAAGTCAAATAATTTAGGCACCAAATTAGGCACCAAATGGTGCTTTGTCAAAGTCAAAAATTAGGCACCTAATTTTTGTTGAAATTGGGTAATGGGATAATTAATTTTAGTCATTGTAATTTAGGGTATTTATAAGATTAGTCCTTAAGTTTCAACTATAAATACCCTAGCTCATTTAGCTTCAAAATCATCCCAAAGCATTCTAGCTTTCTTCCAATACTAGAGAGAATTTAGAGAGTTTCTTGAGAGTTGTTTTCTCCTTTTTATCGAGAGAGAATTATAATTGTTTTCTCCTTGGTAGATCGAGAGAGGTTGTAATTCCTATTTTCTTATAGTGAAATTCTTCTACCGTTGCCCGTGGTTTTTACCCTATTTTATTTAGGGGTTTTCCACGTAAATTTTGTGTCTCTTTTTATCTTCATTTTTATTTTCTCAAATTATCAGTTGCGATTTTGCTCTATCCGATAGCCGTCTTCCGCAACAAAATATGGATAATTTGACTAAGTAAATGGTAATTTCAGAAACTTTTATAACGATATGAATTGAGCCTTTGATTGTTAGATTAATTTCAGGTATAATTAGTATGTCATAGGATCTATAACGTTTGTGTATCGTCATAGGGTATCGATGGGACAGAGAGATAACTATAATATTTATTTCATATCGATATTTGATGAAGTGGTGAGATCTATATATCTGTAGACTACTAGTGAACCATTTGACTAAAATTGATAAAATACCTATAAATACTATGTAATGAACATTTCATACTAGTTTTGACAGGTAATGTTTTGCTATGATAACATGCAAATTGCTCATTCTTTGTTAAGATTTCATATTTTGTTATTTTGATATGTTCTCTTTTAATTTTTGTCTCGAATGCATTAACGAGCTTCTTAAAACTCATTACGTTTGTTTAAAATTTTATAAGAGTTTGATTTTGATATTGATTTAAATTGTACTGTAGGGATCACAAGTTAATTTTTTTTATCTTTCAATGTAAAATTCCTTATTTGAGAAATTTCCTGGATGGTGACACGTGAACTTATAATATTTTAACTATTTGGCAAGTTGTTCTGAATTGTATATACAATTTATGATATGCTTTTGCTTTTGTATGTCTTATGTTGAAACTATAGTTGATAAGCTTATGGCGATTAAATGTGTTTGGCATGTGTGTCCCTTGTAAATTTGTTTAGATTGTGGAATTGAGACATATGTAGTATGATTGTAGGTACTAAACATTGTCTTGGTAATATTGAGTCGTTGTTTATAGCACTCACTACTTGATTGGGAGTTAGGACGATCCTATATGATCATATGAATATCAAGTGCCACATTGACCACTGAAATGACCAAAATCCAAAATATACGAAAGATCTCTTTTTATTTTTACATCTATTCATCATGCGCACATATGAATCACTCATAACTTAAAACATACATCATAGCAGCATTGGAAATGGTGAAGTATTTTCGACTCGATGGACAAACAATCTCATAAAATCTCACAGGTTCGTTTCACTTACACCCCTAGAGCTTTGAACGGGATGGCTGACCACTTAGCTAAAACTGGGATGGCTAGACCCGAGTTATTCAAAGCATGGTGGTAAGAAGGTTGTAGTTTGGAGTTGCTTTTTTGCCCTGTAGGTAGTTGCTTGGCGTTTTGCTGCCGTTGATTTGGTTGTCGGTTTGGTGGGGTCATCTGTTCCATTTGTTTCTTTCCCTTGTTGGGAGTACTCTTTTCCTCCATATAGGTTTAGAAAAGGTTTTAACGAGGCTCTTAATCTAGGTGCTCCTTTTTATCAATAAAAATCTTTCGTTGCTGAGAAAAAAAAATACGAGCACACAAGTACTTTCAATTTTCCTAACATGCTTTCATAACACACGTTAAAACACAAAATTATTGTCACCGAAATGTTCAACACTATTCAAAATGTTACCTTGTCAAATTTTACTTCAGTCATAGTTCTTAATCGATAGGAATTGAAAAATTCATTATTTTTAAGGATCGAATCATAAAGTTTCAATTACTTTTAATACTGAGTTAAAAATTAAATTAAAACGGTTAAAAGTTTCCTGTAGAAACCCCAACTTAATTTGAGTCAGAATTTGTGCTTAATTTCATTTTCAAAATCCAGAACCACCTTGTAAAATCAATCATTTAAGCATCAAAGGGTAAAAACCAACTTTTAGGGCTCTTAAAAACAATATCAAACCTCTTTCCTTGAATTCAAGTCTGAGATCGATCCTTTTAAAAAATGACAAGTTCTTTTCATTCCGGTAGCCATGGAAAATTGCAGATTTCAGCATGAACGTGCATGATTAAGTTGCAATCCAAAACCTAATTGTTTACTTAATTAATGAACATCCATAAACATACTTCAACCATCACATATACCATGCTTCATAACATCAATTTAACATTTCAACATGCTTTGATCATCAAAATTCTAATTATATATTTTAGTTACTTTTTAATAACTTCTATTGCCATGTTTAGGAGTGTGCAAATTCGAATATGTTATTTTTAAAATAATGATTCATATACAATTAAAAAAAAGATATCCAAATATCCAATCCATACATGTTATTTATTTTACCTAAAATTAATCCCATTGCAGAGAAGATATTTAGATAATATTTTAATACAAAATTAAAAATATTAGAGAGTTCTAAAATAAACAATTAAATAAGAAACTTTAACAGTAACGCATGTTTTCAAATATGAATTTATTATAAAATGTATTTTAATGTATTTATTTGAAAATTTCTTAATAGTTAATATATTGATAATTTTACCAATATATCTAACATAGCTGCTACCTGGTCGAATGAAACTAGTTGCTGCCTGATCGAATGAAGCTAGCTGCAATCGTGCTGTGCACACTGATGTATTGCATTAATCTGCTCCAGTTCTTTTAGTAAAAAATAAATAAATCTAATTATACTTGGATTATATATAAATTATATAAAAAAATATAATCACCCTAAATCCCTAATAGCCCAGTTACCATTGTAGGATGGAATTGTTTAAAAAGTAAAAATTAACGATCAAGTTATCATTGCAGGCTGAGATTTGGAAAAGTTTCCCATGAAACATAGGGTTATTGAGTTTAGGGCTAATGGCCCACTAATTTTGTGGATATTCGGATAATCCAAAATTGAGATTTTTTTGGACATTCAGAAAATCCGAAATTGAGATTTTCTTGATTCGCATCCGATCGAATTATCCGATTTTTATCGGCCGATCCAAATTATCTGGAAAAAATTTCGATTTGGATATCCGGATATTTAGATCAGATCATTGCATAAACAGTTCAAATTATTTGGATTTGACATTTTAGGCATTTTGTCTATTTTAAGAAGCTAAACCTACCAAATTCATGCTATATGACTAGTCCAAATCAACCGAAACACCAAACATCAGACCACTCAAGATCTATGACAATGTTTACTCTTCCTACAGGAAAAAAACTCACCATGCATCAATCAGTTGAAAAGCACTGTCGTTTTTTGACTCGTCATTGCAGATCTACAAGTTAGTAAAGCAACGATCTTATAAACCATTAATAGCCACACAAAAACATATCCAAAACCAGGACACAGGTTTAATGGCGAAGTTTCAGGTTCATAGCAACAACAGAGAAAGGAAAGTTAGCAGAAATTTAAGAGCAGCGAGACAACAATAATACTTTAAAACTCCTCATTTTAACATCAAAGAAGAAGATGCTGAAAGAAAAGGCAAACCTAATCTCCACTTGCACAACCTTTGCATCCACAGTGAACGCATTCAATAACCTTTTCTTCCCTCAAGTGCTTCGGAACACGGCAGACGCAAGTTGTAGCGAAGTTGTGATCCCTTGGTTGTATGCAACGTAAGCAACATAAACGTTCATATCCCGGCTGCAATAAATAAAACATATAAACAATAAAAAGCTGCCACAATAAGAGGAAATATAAAACTCGGAAAGACCAAGCACAAGAGATAAGAAAACAAAGGGACTATACAAATGTGTCTGATATACGAATGTACGTAATGCACATATATATGTCCATCTATATATAAGCACACATTCAGCACATAAAATGATCTCTGGGGTTTCAAATAGAAAAACCAACCCCTGACATGAAATGAATCAATAATTGATCAAAATATGCTAGATGGATTTGCTTTGCAGTACTAGAAAATTGACAAAGTATTTGATTATGACACCATAAAATCAATGAAATGCCATATTCCCAAAACGTATTTTAATAACTTAATATTTGTTTGTTTGCTCAACAATGAAAATACACTCCATACAATATCTATGCAATTCTGTGTAAGAATATAGACGGAGCAGAGATAAAGTGACAAACCTTCTTCCATTTTGCAATAAGATTGCGGTCAGCATATCCTTGGTCCAAGCAGAACTCATACAATTCCTTGGATATTTCCTTCCTGCGGTGGTAAAGGTCGAAAATATATCGACTCTTTTGATGGGCAATTTTGAAAATGGGCCACAATGTCTCACATTTTCTCTTACCATCGTGAGGATCATTCTCAGCTATCCCATTAGTTAACAAATTAGTTCATAACAATGATGATAAGAGTTTCAATAATCAAAGTAGAACACATACATGATGCGGAAAAACCCTACCTTCTCTCATTTTTGCTTGTAGCTCACGAAGCGTCGGTTCAATCAATTCCCATCCTTCTGGATATTTTACACGGTTCGTCTTCACTTTCGGCATTGTTCTACCTATCAACACCACAAAAGGTCAATTAACTTTTATATTAACAGGATATTACTGAGAATTTCACAATTCCTAAGGTTATAAACTGTAATGAGCTAAAAGAATAAACTAAGAGAAATAGGTGCAGCAGAGGAACATACTAGGAGCATTAGATGAAATGAAGAACGGCGGAGAAGAAACAACATACATTTCATTTCATATTCTTATCATATTCATCCCTTAACCATAAACATAGAATCGGGTAAAACCCTAATATAGTTTTCTTAAAATAAAGAATTCTATTCAAGCAAAAAGAAGGGAGGTCGAAACTCCTCCGCAGCATTTTTGATAGATACATCACGAACCCATTTCCAGTGTTATTAAGTATGCTCCCAGTGTATTTGCCCTATCAAATCAATACGCCAGCTAAAAAACATGACTGCCTGGTTTTATTAACGCATAGTCCCGTTTGTAAACACTACCAGTGAACCCTAATTTGATTTTAAAAGTAAAACATTTTATATTCACTTTTAGTCTTCAGCTATACAAAATTGATCAGCAGAAACTAATATATAAACTAACCTTGGAGATGAGAAGGAGAGAGACAAAGGTTTAGAGGAAGTATCAGCTTGGTCCAATATGGAAGGAGCGGACCCAATATTTGATTGAACAAGCCTGAGAACGCAGAGGAAACAAAAGAAAAAAAAAACAAAAACACGCACAAAGAAGAACCCAATAAAGATCTGGATGATTGAAGTTAACATAAGAGAGGAAATCAAAGGAAGAAAGTAGTTAATAGAGTGAAGAAGGAAAGTAGAAGTCGGCGAAGAGGGGGATATATTTTTTACCGGAAATCCTGAAACTCACAAAGATGCACAAGTTGGGATTTATTTATTTTTTTCTTCCCTTTTATAGGATAACTTTTGTAGTTAGTCCCTTAATTATGCGTAAATTGAAGATTTAGCTTCTATACTCTAATTTACTCAATTGTAGTTCATATACTTTTTGAATTTTAATATTTCAGTCCCCAACTCATACCAGGGGGGTATGTGACTAAATTACATGAAACTACAAATGGAAAATTAGAGAACAAGGACTAAATTTACAATTTACCTAATAACGTAATTTAAAGTAGTATGTCTAACAGCTCTACTTTAGGTAAGGATTAAAATTCTAAAATTTAAAAAATATAAGGGTTTAATTTTATGTAATTTACAGTTTATTTAATTTTTGCTTTGCCACTAAACTATTATTATTTTTAAATCATATATGATATTACATTTTACTTTTTTTTTGTTGATAGTATCATCAATTCTTTAACGATGGATAATTAAAACAGAAAAAAATATAATATTATGAAATGTAATATTCAATAATATTTGAAAAAAGTAATTGAGTGATCAAAATAGAAATAAGTAATATGTAGGTGATAAACTAGGGAGTTTACCCTTAATAGTTTCATGGTTGATTCTCCAATCCAAATTTTCTTTTCAGTTTCACCCCATTCTTCTTTGTTTATCACCCTCTTCTTCTTCGAAATTAGGGTTTCACCATCCCCAGAAATGAAGCGAAGTGCCACGAAGAAGAAGAGGCGACCACGTGCGACGAAAACGCCGTCTCCCAACGATTTGTCATCTGATGCGTCGCGTAAGCTGGATCCGAATGGAACACAAAAACTGCTTATCGACTCGTTAATGGAAGCCTTTGGTTCCATCTCTCTAGAAGAAGCCACGTCAGCTTACAGTCAAGCCAACGGAGATTTGGACGAAGCGGCAGAGATCCTATCCAATTTGATCGATAATGGTAACAATAGTGAAGATCCTGAGCCGTCGACGAGCTCCATTTCGATTGATTCTTCATGGTCGGGTTCATCGGGTTCCGGTTTTGCGGAAACGGGCTGCTCTCAAAATCTGAATAGCGGGAGGGCACGCAGAAGAGGAGGAAAGCAGCAGAAGCGAGTGGTAGCGGCAACGGGGACTGTTTCGACGGCTCTGGGGAAAGATTATTTTAGGTCAAGCCCATGGCGAGACCCGGCTGCAGCGGCACCTGCGAGACCGGTTTTAGCAAAGGAAGAAGCGGAGCAGTTTTTAAGCTCAATGCTTGGGGACGAGTGTGAACTTAGCATGGCTGTTGTTAGAGATGTTCTATGTGAGTATATTTATTTATTTGTAATAAAGTTCAGGGAATAATTAATTTAATTTTCTTTTTCATGTTGAATGAACGAAAAAAAAAGTTTATTTTTGCGGGTCAGTGTGGGCATAATGTGGGGAAGGTTTTGTGAGTCCTAAAATCTGGATTTGCTTTCTTTGTAGATTTTGATGTATGTAAAGTGTAAACACCAAAGTAGCTTCATAGACATTAGGAATTAATTCAGGAAAAATAAACATAAAATTTTGCTTTTGAATGGCTAAATGCCCCCTTTAGCATACATGTTGCTTTATAGATGCCTCTTTGGTAAGAATTAACTGATTTTTAACTATACATCAGTGCATCCAAAGATCAGGGAATCTATGAGGATATATTGTTTATCACCTTGTAAATAGGCAAATATGGAAATTGGGTTACTGATTAAGACATGGTTGGATTGTGTTGAGTTTATGCTTCTTTAATTCTTTCCCTCTTGGGATGATTGAGTCTTGAGTTAAATCAATCTTAATAAACTGGAATCTAAGGCTAAGCTACAGAAAAACAGCTTCTTGTACTTTACTGTCACTGATGGTTATTTCTGATTTGTCATCTTTTTGGAAAATGTCATTCTGATTCTGTGTATTCTTTCTTCCAGGCTTTGGATGCATTACTTGATTTATCTGGTTCCTCCTATGGAAAATCCAAGAATTGTAATGACAATGTAAACAGTAGACAGGATACATAATTTGCTATTGAATGTGCAGACAATGTAAGTAATATGTTTTTTTTTCTTTTCTTAAAATGTTTCAAGTTTGTGGATCAGTTCCCTCATTCTGTTTATAACATCATTTGTTTTAAATTTTTTAGATATTTATACGCTGATTTTATAATAATTCCTGTTTTCCAACTAGAGCTGTTTGAGAGTATCTGGTTTGAGTGATATTAGAATCCTTACTGTTTTCTTAAGAGAGTCAGTGATGAGTTAAAGCGAAATTACTCTGTGTTTGGCTTGGCTAAAATATTTATTTAGTGTTCAACCTTATGATGGTTTATCTTTCCTTATACCAAGCTTGATGATTTGACATTGATTCAAATGAGAATTGGGTTGAGGGACTTGAGGCTTTGAAGTCGAGGTTCATCTCTATATTTCAAACCAGTCTAACTGAAGGGAACTTTCATTTCGTATATAGTCATTCCGTTCGTCACTAAAAGAGTAAACACAGACAAAAGCCACCCTGTTTTCGGAAAAGAGCACTAGTGGATGTATAAGATTATGTTTATGCAGCATAATTTTGTTTTCGCAGTTCCTTATAATATACATTATTTCGATATTGTTCAAATTATTTGAAAAGCGTTTTACATTGCATTGTATTCTGAATGGCGATTTATAAATTTTTCCAACAGTTAATAGATAGGACATCTGACTACACGTCTAATTCATCAGAAAGCGAACTTCAAGATAGTATACAGTCGATGGGCTATTCTTGCAGGTAACTTAGTCTGCCTGCCATTATCCCTTGGCTTGTTGATTCTTTTTCCTTTGATGTTTCTTCTCATGCTGTTGTATAGAATAAAGGACTTAACATTGTAGATGATTGAATGGTGTTGAGCTATTTCATTTAATGCATGTCTTGAAGAATGAGACAATTTACATTAGAAACTATTCTTGTTGATGATAATTGCCTGCTGGATTTAGAAGAAACTGCAGAATGAATGGGACAACAATTTCCTACTCACGGTATAAAAGAAAAAGCTCTTGAGGTTGGTTGCCAGAGTAGTCTAAATGTATGTTTACATGTTGTGTTGGGTATTTATAACTCACATTGCCTATTAACTATATTTGACAATTCTATTGCAAAGCTGAGAATTACTTTTAGTTGAGGGAATCGTGATGCATCTTCATATATGTTTCATGTATTGACAATACAGTTGTAGGCTTGTAGCTAAGAATTAATTTTGGTTGAGATAATCGTGCTGCATCTTCATACATGTGTCAATGTTTGAATACAATTATCTCATTTTCCGAGTCTTTTAAATACTTGATTTAGGATACATGAGTGTTGCCTTGGCTGTGTTAATATCATAGAAAATTTTATAAATATTTGATTTAGTTCTAAGTTTTCTAAATACTTGATTTAGAATACAATTTCTCCCGTTTCAATGATTTTAAGTATGAAAACCACGACCATGACTTGAAATTTCAAGCGCCCCCTTTCATTTTAGGAATTATGCAAAGGTTATTGCTAGTTCTGAAGCTATGCAACCATCTTTCCCAAGGAGTAATGTGTTGAATCTCCCTCAAGAAGTGTTGGATTCTTTATTTAACATCCCCAAGAGTTCTAAACATGAACCAAGCACTATGAGTTGGAGGAATGTCGTAAAGAAGATGCAGTCATTGGGACCAGCTATTGATATTTGTCCATCTACTGATTCAGAGCCTCAACAGGATATCTATGGTATTCTCTTGTTAATTTCTCAGGCTTTCAAAGTTATTGTATGTCTGGGTTTCTTAGTACTCTAACATCTTGTTTTGAAATGGAATTATTAATATCACTATAAACAATCATATTTTCACGAAGCCCTACTACTAAATTGCACTTGAGCACTTTTATTAGAAGGGCAATACTGACAAATTCCTAAAATATTAATTATTTTTTCATTCTTAGTCATTATGTTTGGTACATATGCATTGATACATCTTTTCTTCTGCTTGTTCTACCAAAATTGGAATATTCAAGTAGCCAGGTCTACTTGAATAACTGCCTCCTAAACTTATTCTGAGAAATGAAGGCATTTGAATATTCATTAAAGTGGTTAGATCATTCTATTTCTCCATTAGAATTAAAAAAAATGTATTCTGAAACAAAAAAGACGAAAAAGAAACTGAAGAAGTTAAGGTGATTCTTGATTAACTGTGCTTTCTAGGGTTTGTATTGTTTTTATTTCCTCTTTGACCTGGTGTTTATAACCATTTTCTTCAAAATATTCATCATAAACTCATTTGTACTACGTATATATGTTTTTGCACTGTTTTACATTATTGTTTTCTTTACAATTCATTTTTTCGGAATTGTAGTTAAGGAAGATGAATATCACAAATTTAGAAAGAGTGCCAAAGAGCATTGGGATTCTATGAAATCCTATTATCAGAAGGAAAGTAGAGAGAAAAACGTAGAGAGAGAGAATTTGAAAGGAAAGTCAGTTCCGGTTGAGTGTTGGTCGGCGTTTATCGATAATCTTAGTAAAAGGGTCTCCCATCGTACGCTTAGGGAATTATTCTTAGTCCATGGTCCTGTTACGAGAGTCTTTATTCCCAGCCAAACTAGAAATCCAAAATACAGATTTTCCACTTTTGCTTTTGTTCATTTTAAGAGGGAGGAGGATCTGAAGAGGGCTGTTGAGGAGTTAAACGGGATTGTGATTGATGGAAGGAAGATCTCAGTTAGTCCTACCAGATTTAAGGATGAACGTTCAAGGTCAAGGGTGGTGCTTTCTTCTTCAAACAATGTTGCTGGTCAAATTAATGCAGAATCTTCAAAATCAAGAGAAAGAGATAATATTAATAGAAGTAGAAGGGATGATAGATCTTATAGGGATGCTCTGTTGTCTAATGGGAATAGAAGGGGGAACAATGATCTAATGTCTGAGGATATCCAGAGGAGGAATGTCAAGGGAAATATATTTGAGATGCATATCCCAACAGACAGCGCCAACTGGGTGAAAAGGTCGTTAACAGGGATT